ATATCCTAAATAATTTATGTTAATTTATTGCCGAAATGACATTTTTACTATTGGAAAATTTCAACAACTATTAAATTAAAGTACATAAAATAAATAATAAATAAAAATAAATTTAAGTTTAAAGAAATGTGTATAGGTTATAACTTCCATCTTGGTATAATGCGAGGCCTACCTATAACCTCTGCTACAATGTGGGATGTAGCACCCGGTTTGATGCTACACATGGTGCAGACAAAGTCTCTATGTGTTTTACGTGATTACCTGCCTGCAATACATGATGCAGATATATATAATTTTTTTAAAGAATATTTTACTGGTGTAATTATTAGAATATCTAAATCTAATGTGATATATTTTATGTATTCATTATTAATCTTTAAATTCATTTAAAAAAATTTATGAAAAAGTACTTCCTTTTATTTATATATTATTTGTATATTATTTAAATTCATAAAAGAAATTTGTACTTCTATTGAAGATGCAAATGTCAACTTCAATGTTTTGTATAACCCCTTATATAGGGGTTATTGTCTAAATAGGGATGTTGCACTTAAACTCTGCAACTTAGGTAGTGTATGTCGATACGAGTAAGACCTCGATGTTTTTTTGCGATACTAAGTACTTTTTTCGATACTTATAAAGTATCGATATCGAAACATTGTTTTGTATCCTATCACAGACCTAAACGCTGTAGAACTTAATCTATATAAAATATTTATATGAGGATTAGTATTGCATCTATAAAATTGTAACTAATCTAATAATATAATATGGATAGTGCACTTAAATTGATAGAGATGTTTTCATAAATTTATAGAGAGTACTGTCATGGTATGCCCCTACGTGGTAGGCACCTTGACGTGGTGTAGGGGCTTAGCTACAGGCAAGCTTGCTGACTTTGGGTCTCCTGCTCATTGTCTATGCAATGGTCAGAAGACCTTTTTGTCGGTCTGGCTTGTGGGTACAACAAAGAACTACCAGTAGTTGTGTTGTCCTGTAGTTTATGTGCATGTATGTGTGTCTTTGTCTCTATGTATGCATGTATGTTCTTTGTGTTTTTAGAATGAATGGAAGCGTGTAGGTCCACTAAGTGTCTGGGGACCAGGGTTTATGACGAACCAAGACCGTCCATACGTGGTGCAGAGCCACATATTATGGCGGATCTAGAGAGGAA